CTTCCCCCCCCCCCCTAGAGCGTCACGTATTTTACGAACGGCTCCTCACGCTTCAAAATCTAATTTCGATTCCATAAAACATCTAGTCATTTTTTTTCCAGTTTACTTAGTGTTGGTAAAAATATAGCTTTTTAGTTGTATAAATCTAGGGTTGTCGATTTCCTTTCTGTTCCCTCGTTGAATTTTTCGAGAGATAAGATGGTGCATTTTAATTTCTTTTTATAAAACTCCTAAGCTCAAAGGAATGTATCTCAGTTGAGCGCGTTATGGAGAAGCGTACCCCTATCGAAGGAGAAAATTCGACCCCTCACGTCTGAAATTATACAAGTTTTTGATAAAATAAAAGGAATTGTGCAAAAAGTCTTACTTGAGTTTCGGTTAGACTAAGTGACTGGGCTAACTGCTTCCTCTCTGCGCCGACAACGTAGTGATTCTTCTCGAACGCGTGTTCTAATTTTAAGAGTTGACTTGGACTGAAGGCCGTTCGTATCCTCTTTGGTTTTCGGAAAGGTTGTAATAAAAATCCTGGAATGTCTGGACCTGGAACGAAACAAAAACCACAACAAATTAAGAATCCCTCCATTCGCAAACAAGAAAAATTAAGTGTACTTTTATACAAATTAGCTAATCACAGCTATGAATAACTAGGGGCCCTCCAGCCGTCAAGCGGTACAACCCCAATAGGCGCTACGCAGCTACGTCATTCAGTGGCATTTCTACGGTGGTAAACTCAGGTTATTTTTCGAGTATTTGAGAGGCTTACTCAGCAGTATTTCCTGAGATAGTGGAGATATCATTAAATATGTTTGAGAGATCCTTAGATATTAAAAAATTATTCGGAATGTATCCAAGTTTACAGTAATGAAACCAACTTCATATTCTTTAAAACAAAATTATACGCTGATTTCTGATAAAAGATATCTGCAAAATTTACCTTTTTCATTTTTTGACAAAAAACGTGTAAATTGCGAGGCTTGGAGGACAAGGTGCAGTTTTTTTTTTTTTCACGAAATATGTGCGTTTAAACGCAATTATATGGAGCCATAGCAGAAAGGAAGCTTAAACTCACTTTTTGATGCTTTAAAGTTGGATTTTAGTGGTGAATTTTTCTCAGAATATACTTTCAAACTATCGTAGTTTTAGTTGAGTTCATGAATATCTCAATTTTTCAAAAACACCACTTATCGATGGTGAAACTGCAGGAACGTGTATATCGGTTTGCGGCGTTGCAGACTTCCTGTCATACTTTATTTTTCATATGGAAAACCACTTAACATCATTTATTGAGCACTTCGGATATTTTTTTTCTGCATGCGCGAAGAATATTCTGTGAAAATTTCAAGCCACAATGTTGCTTCGGTTTCCTTTTAAAAAATAAAATAGGAGCGGAGATTTTCAAATACCGCGACCGATATACGCATTTTTGGGGTTTCACCATCGTTATGCGCCTTATCCTCCAAGCCCCTCGATTATCCTTTAAAGTTAATCAAATTTGTTGATAACAATAAAAAATATACACAGGGAGAAAACTCTACGGTGACCCGGTGACAGTTTGGCAATGAGGCCGTCCAGTCGGATCCTGGCGGGAATAAATTCTCACTCAAATCCGATTCTAATAGAGAAACAAGCTCAATTGAAAAGGAGCGTGTTTTATTACGCTTCAAGATTGATATCTCTCGCGTCTGCCCGGGCCGTTTATATACTAATAAGTAAACTTACTCCGCCAATCGCTGATTTTATCCAGGCGTTAACATCACGTTGCCAATTGGGGTTCGCCCTTTACTCTCATCGAAAAATAACACTTAGAACTATACGGTTGATTTTTTTTTTTTTTTTTTTTTTTTTTTTTTTTTTTTCAAGTATCCCACGAGGGATAATCCTGCGCTTTACCATCCCTAGAGCCCAATCCCTCTCCGTCCCTAATCAAGCCAGCCCCGATAACCGTTGTTCGAGACCATCAAACTCGGGTCACCTGACTGGAAATCGAACCCGGAACCTCCCGATCATAGGGCAAGCGCTACAACCACTCTACCACAAGAGGCCGACAAAGGCCATTTCTCCCTTCGTTCTCTGTACTAATGAAGCTGTATCACTTGTTTTGACCCATCTAACTTTTCGCTTCGTCGACTCTTCTGCTCTGCGTTTAAGTCTCCGAGTCAACGAAAAAGAGACAAATGTCCCCTTTATTTTCATAGGTATGCAAGTTTACCTACTTGAAAGGTATGAATTAAGCATCCTCTTCGAAATTTTGGGAGAACGAATCGCAAATCAACTTCAGAACAATTTATCGACTGTGAAACTCCCAAACTACGTATCTCGCTTGCGGTGTTTAAAAATCTTCACCCCCGTTCATTTTTTTCAAAAAAGAACAAATCAATATCATTTCCTGAAGATGTAACAGAGCAACCTGCGCACGCAGAGAAGAAAAATCACGAAAGCTCAAGTAGGTACGTGGTCTGGCAGTTCAACCATCATTACGAATTTTTTTAGAACTGATGATGGTGAAACTTCAAAATACAAATGAGAGACTTGGAGGACAAGGCGCATAAGTGCAGTTTTTGCTACTTTGATAAACACATGTTTGAAGTTCCAAAATTAAACGGAGCTTCATGACAGAAAGAAAGTTCAAACTGACTTTTTGATGCTTGAAAGTTAGAATTTTGGAGCGAATTTCTCACTGAATATGCATTAAGACTGTAGTTTTACTTGAAATAATTGAGGAGCTTTCCGGAAAAAGGGCACATAGCAAAAATTTGCGTGTGAGAGAAATGCATTTGAAATTTTGATCATTACTCTATGGCAGCTGACAGTGACTTTCGTTCGAAATCGGGAGTCCAAGCTGCGCTGAAAGGTACCATCAGTGGCCAGAAATGAATGATGGAAACTTAAAACACATTTTTCGCAAATGCTGTTTTTTGCTATGTGTCCTTTTTCCGGAAAGCTCCTCAATTAGTACATCAATTTTATGCGACTTGTCCTCCAAGCCCCTCAAATGACGTCATTTTTATATTTCGACTTCCATTTGATCTGTGTAAAAACACTTGTTAATATCTTTTTTAGGAGCTGATGTTTGGATTCCCCGATGTGGAAATCGTATTCTTTGTAAGATTTTTTAGAGGGGTAATGAGGTTTTTTTTTTCTTTTCTTTTTTAGTTTAAATCTTGTCTAGTTGTGGCCCATTGCAAAATTTAATCCAATTACGGCTGCCGGCAACAGTGGTGAAATGGTGGAGCGGTGACCAGTACTGACCAGCCTCCTGCCACGGAGCAATTATTGGTTGAGACACGAATGGTCTCACACTCTCCGCGTTTCGCGCGAGCTCTATTAATGCACGGACATTTGTAAGTACGCCAAATGTCCCCCGTTTGTCACCGCCACGTTCGTCCGCCAAGTAAACACGCCCCGGGGTGCGTTTCCATGCGCCCAGCCTTGCCAGAACCACCCCCAAAATCCCCCTCGCGCGCCCACGAAATCACCGTTTTCTATACTCCAAGTTTGACAACCGCTTTCGTGGCACGCTGCACGCGAGATCGGACAATGTTACCAATCCAATACAAGTTTCATTGGGCAAAGAAATTGTTTTTTTTTTTTTAAAAAACAAATATATTATATGGGGTGTTTTTCATGTATGTATATTTCTCATTATTTTAATTTTGTGCGTCTTATATTATTTTTATTTTATTTAATTTAGTTATATATTGTTTTATTTCATTAAATTACATTTTATTTTATTTTATTTTATTTCATTTCATTTCATTCAACTTCATTTTATATCATTTCGTTTCGTTTTATTTTGTTTTATTTCGTTTTATTTTTTATTATTATTTTTTTATCATTCTTTTCTGTGTTCATAACTTTTTATGTTTTTCTAATTCTTGTTGTGTGTATTTAAGAAAAGTTGTGTGCATTACACAAATCGGACGTTTTTTGTAATTTTTGATCAACCCATTCCCGAATTCCTGTCTCCGTCCCCTCTCTCATTCCATTTGTTCCTTGCGGTACCCCCAATTTCCCGGACCATTCCAGTTCATAATCTTTGGAATTGGTGAAAATGTAATCTTTACTCCCGTTTGTGACACTGTGAGGGCCTAAAATACGGAAACCAATCAGAAATGGATTCGCATTGTATTTTACTCCCATTATAAAGGGACTCTGGTTGGGCCCAAGAGTTCGTATGTGGATGAGGGAAAGAGAGGTTACATTGGCTACACTGCGAGATCATAACGGAGCGATTGTGGTTGGGTCGTTACACGATTTGCAAGATGGACGTCCGTTTTTATCAATTGCCCGTTTCACTCCCTTCCCGGTCGCCGTTTCCAGTCGAATGATGCCATGCTAAGGAAAAAACCCAAATCTGCACGGAATATACATTGCACTTGCGTCGTTCTTACTAATGCCAGCCTCGGTTGGATACCGATTAATGTCCACGCGCTTGCGCGCCGCGCCACGAAACCGTGAACAAGGAAATAAACTCCGCTGCGCTGAGTGGATATCCTTCAAATCTATCACAATATTCAATATTCCATTTAACGAATTTAGAATCCTAATTCGCACGGATTTATTTTAAAAAAACACTTACGTCGGTTTTTGTTTTGGGTATGGTGCTCCACTAAAGATCTCCTAAAACCTAAACTGCCGTGCTAAGGAAGAACGCCGTATGAGCCTTCAGGCGTTGCCAATCTTCCTGTGACAAATCACTAATTTTCAGGGAAAGTTGTGAATAATTGTCTTCAAAGTTTCCTGATAATTTTGTTCAGAATATGGCGTAAATATTTTGAAAATCTCAGGGGAAAATATTCAAAACTTTCCTCGAGAATACCTAAACATTTCTTCAGAGGAAATTCAGGTGGAAGAAACCAAGGGTGTCACTACCGCGGTGGATAACATCATAAACCGAATTTTTCAAAGCGCGATAGCTCGGTTAAAATTGACCGTATAAAGTTGTTGTTCAAACAAATCTTATTATTTGTAGTCTATCTACGAGGATCAAGCATTAAAACACAATTCTGTAACCAGCGAAAAACGCCAATAATTGATTCTTTACTATAGCTTTTAAGGGGGAATGTAGATGATCGATCATGCACGCCCCGCCGCTAAGCACTGAGCACTATAAATACGAACCTGAATGAACTGGCCATTGCCTGTGCCTGTGCCTTTAGCAAGGTCATCAAAAGGAAAATCCGTGTGGGGCGCGATGCTGCCGTGCTAAGGAAAAGCGCCGTATGCACCTTCAGGCGTTGCCAGATTTCCTTGGATAAAACGCGAATTTTCTGGTCAGTTTATAAATATTTTCCTCCCAATTTTTCAGATAATTTCGTTCGTAATTTTACCTAATGATTTTGAAAATTTCAAGGAAAAATATTCATAACTTTAATAAAAAATAAACATTTTATCGAGGGAAATTTGGCAACTCTCGGATGTTCATACGGCGTTCTTCCTTAGCACGGTAGGATGGCGGTGAGTAAATCGTAGTGTAACTCACCGTGCAAAGTACAACTCCACCTGGGAGCGGAGGGCGGCGCAGAACGAAGCTCACCGTT